AAAAAAAAAAAAGCCACTTTTCTCAAGCCAGCCCCAACATCATAAAACATGCCTTTGGCTCTGACCCATTATTAGCCAGAAAGCTGAGACTCAGAAGAGATTTCAAGGCAGATGAGGGTCAATTTATTCCCAACCATTTTGATTACTTGTCTTCATCTGGTAGCTCACCTGGAATGAACCTAGTATTCATATAAGAATTCAAAATATTACTTAACATTAAAGGTTCACATTTTTTTAAGTATGCTACAAAAGCAATTTAACTAAATCAACTTCTCTCACCTACTTCAGAATCCTGCCAATTAAAAAAAGATAAATAAATAATAAGAACAGGAATCTGATAAGATTAGATGCTTCCAGTCATATTATCTTTGTCCAAAATGCTTGTGGCAACTAGCGCTGAAAACTGAACTAGGTGAGAATGATAAGGTCTGGATTCTAGGGTGGTGCCTCCATCTCCAGTTATGAGTATGAATTCAGCTAATGCCTGAGCTTCCTGGGCTAGGCTGCAAGGTGAAGGTCTTGAATTTAGTAAATGATCTCCAAAACTCTTTTGATTTCTAAGATCCTGTGGTTATAAAATGATCGAGTGTAGTCAATTACTACTACTCCATTCCATCCTTCATTTCTTGGACAGTCATATGGACATCTTGGGTGGGGCATCGGACACCTTCTGCCCTAGTTTGGCATGACGTTTATGACTGCGGGGTTGGCTGGGGGAGGAGGAGCGTGAACTGTACAGGGGGCAGCTGGTGATTTTAAAAACTAATGAGCTCTGGGTGGTACCTGTGGCTCAAAGGAGTAGGGTGCCGGCCCCATATACTGGAGGTGGTGGGTTCAAACCCAGCCCCAGCCCCCGCCAAAAACTGCAAAAAAGAAAAAAAGAACTCCGGATACCTGGAGATAGTGTTTCTGGATTTCGCAGGACAGAAGACTCCTCCACCCCAACCCCACCCCAGTCCCAGGGTTAAATTGGCCGTGCTGTTGGAGTGTCCAGCTCTCAGAAAAGAAACAGGATGAAATAACTACAGGCTTTTCAAAATGGAAGTGTCCTAGCAGGACCCATCTGGCTCAACATTTAAAAAAAAAAATTATAAGAGATTTAGAATGCTGAGTTGTGGTAAACGTAGACTAACCAAATAGCCCCAGGACTTAACCGTGCCCCAGCTTTAAAATACTGCTGCAAACGCTTTTCTCAGTCCGCCCTACAGGTACCATTGTGTTTCTTTGTGGACAACATGCAGCTGAGAAATTCAGACCAATCCCTTTAAGATTTTAAAGGCTGACGTGTTCTTAATATACCACACACTAGAAATAAATATTATTGTCTTAGGCAGGGTGGAGGGGAGGTGCTGAAAACAGAAAAGAACAGAAGAAAGGCGGTCTCTACTGCATCGGGAAGTCTGCATTTGGAAATCACAAGACGTAGAGATCAAAGCTGCTCCCTCTCCAGCCACCTGCAGAAACTCGGCCAGAGCGCTGGCTCAACACCGACAGGGCGAGTGGGCACGTGTCTCCCTACCAACCCAACTGGCGCGCCAAGGGATCCAAGTTAGGAACTCAGACTCACGTCGCGGGCTGGGCGCTGGGGCAGCAGAGAGAATAGAGCCCATTCAAGCCCAGCCCTAGCGCCCCGCTGCCCAGCCCCCTGCCTGGAGAGATGCCCCCTGTCACCTGAGCCACTGCGCCCTCGGTACAACTGAGAAGACTAGCGAGAAGAGGAAGAGTGGCGGGATCTTCTCGGCCGGCACTTTAGGGATCCGGGCGCCGGAGCGGTCCTGGAGATTGCGCCCGGACAGCCCAGGCTCCCAAGCTCCGCAGCCGGCCCGGAGCGTGCAAACTACCCCACGCCCTACCCGATCCCCTTGTACGTCCGTCCCCAGACCAGCCCAGTCGCGTCCTCACCTCGCGGAGACCGCTGCAGCCCTGCCGGTAGCTCGCGGACATGCCCCCGGGGCGCGCCCGCAGAGCCGCGTCCCTGCGCGGTGGCCCCTTTCCCGGCCCCAGGCGCCGCGATCCGCGCTTTCGAGAGGCGCAGGGCAGACCGGACGGAGGCGCCGGCCGGGCTGGGGCCAGGGGCCCAGCGAGCAGCTCCAGGGAGGAGAGCGGCGCCCGGAAAATCCCGGTGCTCGGCCCCCAAAATGCACTGGCTGGTTCGGCCCTGCCAGCTCCGCCGGGGACTCTGCCCGGCCAGCGAAGGGGATTTGTCGCTGCGATCCGCTCTAAGTCTGCAGCTCCGCGAGGGGTGAGGGGCGCGGAGGAGGAGGGACGCCTCGCGGTTATATAAGGCATCGGCCCTCTGTGTCCCGAGCCGGGTCGCTCGGGGACTGCCCGACCCTCCCCGGGAACACCCGTGCGCGCCCCTGACCTAGGCAAGTCGAGAGGCCCCGGTGCATCAATAAAAACTTTTCCCAGCAGGGTCAAGAAGCAAGCTCTCGAGAAGGAATACGTACAAGCACTTCTTAAGGTGTATCTGGCAGGGATCTGGACAGTGCCAGCCGCTCCTTCCCGGAAACTCAAGCGGCAGGGTGCTGGTTGAAAGCTTTGTCTCTCGCGGTCATGTGGACCTGCGTGCAACTCTCCTGAAAAGCTCATAGCCTTGGGCGATTAACTTACCTCTGTGAGCCCCACTTTTACCTGTGAAATACAGAATAATAATAGCGCCCATTTCATGTTGATGCTGAGGACAAAATGAGAGAACATAACCCAATTCCCCAAAGGTTGCCTTAGAGCCTGAAGAAGCTGCCTGAGTCACCATTCCCCACCTGAGACAGGCTAACCTTTCTGTAAAGCACTCTCTTTACCACAGAGACTGACAAGGTTTCACTGCAACTTTCTGGAGAGGACACCCTTGCTACTACAAGAGTGGCTTATAGACTGACAGTCACGTCTAACCGCAGAGCCTCAAAGTCAGAATCTGTATTTTCAACCGGATTCTTTGGTGGTTAGGATGTACATGGAAATCTCAAAATGAATTATTAGACTTTTTGGAAAATTTAAGAAGGACACAAGGAAATTCCTAGCAACGTTTGCCAAGCAGTACCTCAGGGTGTTTTCAAAATAGACCAGTAAATCCTTTCTCATTTTACTCTCTGGCTACTTTGTCCTCCTCCCCCTCATCTCAAGTTTTCTGCCCTTTAACTACAAATCTGAATTTAAGTCCTATTTTCATTTGCAAAAAACACTAGGTTATAGCTAAGTGATGATTAGTTAATATATGTTTAAAACACACAAAAGCAGGAACAAACACAGCTTGCAAAAGAATTCATTAGCATTGAAAATGAACCACTAAATGCAGAAGCAGCAGCAAACCCTGAACTCTCAGCTGTGAAAGTCTTTGGGTTAAAGGTCTGAACCCTTTGTGGTTCAGAAAAATACTTCTCTTGGTTAAACATTGCTTTGGGTGGCAAATAAGTCCTTTTAAAAAAAATTTACATAATGTAGAGCAGACAGTCCTTTAAAAAAGTTTTGGAAAGTAGAAAGAAACCTCACAGATTTCCCCTCCATCTAAGTCACAATTACAGGGCCTCTAGCAAAGCCCAAAGCAAATATTTTGTTTATTCTAGTCAGTGCTGTGTCACTGTTGTTTTATTCTAAGAGTGCTGAGATTTCGTGTGACTGATTCTATCTCAAGCAGAATGATTTTCATCTTTTAAGAATTACAACCTAGTAATTGTAGGTTGGTGATGATGATGTTAAGTCTAATGCCCGGTAGAGAAAGGTCACTTCACTCCACTTACCCCTTTGGAGGTCCACACTTAAGGCTGTTGAAATAGCTGCTGTCATGGCGGTGAGGCTCATGGAGGTGAAGGGGGGAGATAGACATGGATGAAGGAAAGGAATCTCCGTTCTCTGAGGTTAGAAGGTCCAGGCCACTGAAAGAAGGGGAAGAAAGCCCGCCTGCTCTTGCTGTGCTGTGTGGGAGAAAAGCAAAGACAGAACCCTAGATTCCAACCTGGGAGGAAAGGGAAGATCAGCCTTCCTCCTAACTCCGTCCAATGCAACTTTCTGCGGTGACTGAAATATGCTGTATTTTCACAGTCCGATGCAGCTATGAAATGTAACTATTTATATTTAATAAATTAATTAACACTCAGGGTTTTTTAAATTTTTGTTTGTTGTTTTTTAATGTTAGTCTGTTGCACTAACCATATTTCAAGGGCTCCATACCAACATATGGCTGGTGTCTACCATACTGGACAGCACATAAGACATTTCCTTCGTCACAGAAAGTTCTCCTGGACAGTGATGCTTACAGGCCAGGGTTTTGGTGAGGAGGTAAGCCCAGAGATCCAGCTTCTCCAAGTCCCAGTCAGAGCTTTATCTGTCTAAAGGCAGATTATGGAATAACAAACCTACAGTATTGAGTCTTTCAGAATGAAAATGAGAGCATCTACAGAATACAATACCTTGCAAATAGTAAATATATAAAAAGAAGTTACCCATGTTAGTATTTATTAATTTTTACATTAAGAAAAAGTTGAAGTCTGGGCACAGTAGCTCTCACCTATAATCCTAGCACTCTGGGAGGTGGAGGTGGGTGGATTGCTTGAGCTCAGGAGTTTCCCTGTCTCAAACAATAACCGGCCATTGTGGCAAGCACCCGTACTCCCAGCCCCAGCTACTTGGGAGGCTGAGGCGAGAGAATCGCTTGAGCCCAAGAGTCTGAGGTTGCTGTGGGCTATGACACCATGGCACTCTACCCAGGGCCACAAAGTGAGACTCTGCCTCATAAAAAATAGTTGACAAAGATTCTTTGCTGGGCCAGACCTGTCACCAGACCTGAGCCAGGCCCATCTTTATACTTCCTTATAAAATCCACTGTTAGCAAAGAACCCTGCTAGGTCAATTTAGCAATAATCTGTCTCTTCTTTAATATCTGATTACCCTCAGATCATTCTCCACCATCTTCCAGGTGCTACCAACCCTGGCTAGTCTTCAGCAAGAATCTTATTAGGTCGTTTTACCCAGAATCTCCCTGACTCTTGGTAGTTTTCATCCTCTAAACCCACTCCCTGTTCCTTGCCTATGAATTTCTACTTTTCCATGCTGCATTGGCGTGGAGCCCCATCCCTCTCTCCTACTGCAAGTCTCCATTGTAGTGGTCCCTGTACCTACCTTGACAGTCCTGCATGAAGTCTTCCTTACCATGCTTTAAAAAGTGTAAGTGAATAATTTTTTTTCTTTAACAGGGGACTCGGCCTTATACTGGCATCCTTATTAGTTAAATAACCTTTTGCTGACATGGTCAGCTGCTGTGCTACCTCAATGCCCATTAATAGCCCTGCTCCAGCTCACTTCCTTCCCCTTCCTCCCCAGTATGGCTGAGTACTACCTGTACTCTTCTGGCCTGGAGGCACAGCGAATAAATAACGAGTATGTTAACTTAAATCATATTGAACCATGGTTCAGTGGAATTAATTTTCAGATGCGATTCTGAGAAGCATAACACCTTAGGGTACATCCATTAGGAAAGGAATTGTTTGTTCCTGTTGTTTGGTCAAACAAGGATATTTGGACTCGGCAGAGAGAAACGAGAACATTGGCTCCAGATAAGTCATACTTGGGGCATCTACGTCAGAATAGAAGCTAGCCAGGTGCAGTGGCGCAGACCTCTAGACCTAGCTTCTGGGGTGACTGAGGCAGTAGAATCAACTGAGCCTTGGCGTTCGAGGCTGCAGTGTGCTATGATCATGCCTGTGGATTGCCATGGCACTCCAGCCTGGAGAAGATAGGGAGACCCTGTCATTAAAAAAATTAAAAAAGAGGTTATCAGAATGTTGGGGGTTAAGGATGAAACCTTGAGGCTTTCGCCTAAATAAAATTTGAAATTTTATTCTCATGACTAGTTACAATTTTTAAGATAACTCCAAAAGCATAAACGAGATGCAGATATCTGACCCTGTTAGCTGCGTAGATTAGGGCAATCACACGTACATGGAGAGGGAAATGGGGGAGTCCTCCCTAGACACAAAGAAACATACATTTTTGAATAACTGTCTTCTCCAACTCCTGTTCAACAGACTTCTCTAAGATCCTGCCCCGGGAGGACCCTTCAGAGCCCACTTTCCTTATCACCTTCCTCGGCTCCTTTTTTACCACGTCACCCTTTATCTCCTGAGCATTTTCTGAGAAGCCGCCCCTATTTTTGTTCCCCGTCCGCCTTTCATGACTCTGGTCAACGCCTGCTGTCAGCGGCGATGTCTTTGCAGTTCTGACCTCCCTCTGAATTCCAGTTCCTGTCACCAGATGCCCAGTGGAGATTTCCACTTGCATTCTCCTTGCACCATCGCTTCCAATTTTAAAACAGCAGGAACTTAAGTTGTCACCACAGTCTGGTCGCAGCTCCCCGAGCACTCTCAAGCTTCTTTTCTCCAACACCACAACCTCGGTCTCTGGTGCTAAAATTCTTTCTGTTACTGCGACTTGAAGCTATGTAACCATCTCAACCTTTTATGATATCTTCTTCCTGGAGTCATGGCGTATCTGAAAGACATTGAATTTAGAATCAGAAAACTGAAGTAAAAATCCCATTTCTGCCACTTCTTAGTAGTATGAACTAAGTGAATTTTTTAACACCCCACCACCATTGCCAAGTCTCGGATTTCTCATATCTATAAAGTATCATGAATACCATTCAAAAAACATGGGCTGAACAACTATGTGTCGCAGCCCCTGTGCTAATTAGGTTAGACCCTCCAGCTCTGCTCTACTTTGCTGTGGGATTGCCCTGCACATTGAAGGATGTGTAGCCACGTCCTAAGTCTTTACTCATTAGATGTCAATAGTAACTCCTCTAGGGGCGACAATCACAGCTGTCTTCAGAAATTGTCAAATGTACCCACGGGGTGAAAAGAACACTGGGAGGAGCAAAGAGCCTTCCTCTCTGGGTGCTTTGAGGATTACATGAGATGACAAATACAAAACCAGGGGTCACCCTTTGCAGAATGTGGCTGTCTGCTCATTCCTGAAGCTCTGCCAAGGTGAGGTGTCCTCTGAAGACCACAGATGGAAGAACATTTTTAGGAAAAAAAAAAACTGAATCTGGATTGTATCATTCTGAATTACTATTATATGCTAGGAAATATTTTTGAATTTAAACAACAGAGGAAAAAATTTCTTTCTGTCTGTCTTTTTTGAGACATAGTCTCACTATGTTGCCCTTGTGGCATCACAGCTCACAGCAGCCTCCAACTCTTGGGCTTAAGCAATTCTCTGCCTCAGCCTTTCGAGTAGCTGGGACTACAGGTGCTCATCACAATGCTTGGCTATTTTTTTGGTGGTAGTTGTCATTGTTGTTTGGCAGGCTCAGTCTGAATTCGAACCCGCCAGCTCTGGTGTACATGTAACCGCTAAGCTACAGGCACCAAGCTGGGAAAAACTTTCTTACATCACATTTTCTTAGTGGATTTATCCCTCTATTGT